AGGTGGATCATCTGAGGTCAGGAGTTCAAGACCAGCCTGACCAACATGGAGAAACCCCATCACTACTGAAAATACAAAATTAGCCAGGTATGGTGACGCATGCCTGTAATCCCACCTACTCAGGAGACTGAGGCAGGAGAATCGCTTGAACCTGGGAGGCGAAGGTCGCAATGAGCCAAGATCGTGCCATTGCACTTCAGCCTGGGCAGCAAGAGCGAAATTCTGTCTCCAGAAAAAAAAAAGCTTTGTCAGGCTGGGCGTGGTGGCTCACAGCTGTAATCCAAGCACTTTGGAGGCCAAGGCGGGTGGATCACCTGAGGTTGCGAGTTCAAGACCAGCCTGACCAACATGGTGAAACGCTATGTTTAAAAAAAAAAAAAGAAAGGAAACTATTAATACAAATGCCTGCTTGTTAAGTTTAAATAAAAGTGAGCTAGGAAAATAAGAGCTAATTGAACATAAGGGAATCAAAAAAAAGAAAAGAACAAAGTCATGCCAAAAGGCAATAAAATAGAAAACAAAATAAAACAACAGAGCCAAACTGTGACACTTCGGAAAGGTCGGTAGCAATGATTAGCTTCTGCAAGACCGTTAAGAGACAAGGAGATGGACTTCACCAGTTTCTGTTGTCAGGAGTGAAAGAAGGAACATCACTACAGACCCTGCAGAGATGAAAAGGACAGTAAGGAAATATGAACACCTTTACACCAATACGTTTGACAACTTTGATGAAATGAGCAAATTCCTTGAAGATACAAGCATGCCAATTGGAATAAAGGAATAGCACAGGGCACGGTAGGAGAATTTAGCTAGGGGATTGTTCTAAGTCCAGAGGGTCTGGAAAGTTTTCCTAGAAGTGATACTTTTAAACTGAGACCTGTAGGAGAAGTAGGATTTGCCCAGGTTGATAGAATTGTATTCCAGGCTGGGGGAAATAGTGTGTGCAATGGCCCTGAGGTTGGAATGAGCTTTCTGTGTCCAAAGAAAAAATGTCACTCTCATGACACTTTTTGGTGTTTGATGACCACGTACCACATCCTTCCTGGGTCCAAACCTCCAAGCAGACCTGCTTAGCTTAAACAGAAAAGATAAGTGCAAACCCAGTAGTAAGAGAAATATGGAAGTTTCTGGGCTGCAACAGGAGGCAGCTTATCCTGCGAAACATGTCACAAACTATGCCCAGAATTGATCTGGAACTAGTTCCCTTTCAGGTGGCTGATCAAACTTCTGAGCCTTTTTCCTCCGTGTAACTTTCCTTGTGAGTATTCACTACCCACTAGGCATTGCATTTCATACTACAAGTTCTTTGAATCTAATCTCCACTATTATTATTACTATTTTTTTGAGACGGAGTCTTGCTCTGTTGCCAGGCTGGAGTGCAATGATGCAATCTTGGCTCATGGAAACCTCTGCCTCCCAGGTTCAAGCTATCTTTCCGCCTCTCATGATCAGCTTGCCTCAGCTTCCCAAAGTACGGGGATTACAGGTGTGAACCACCACACCCACCCTTTTTTTCTGAGATGGAGTTTTGCTCTTGTTGCCCAGGCCAGAGTGCAATGGCGCAATCTCAGCTCACCACAACCTCTGCCTCCCAGGTTCAAGTGATTCTCCCGCCTCAACCGCCCGAGTAGCTGGGATTACAGGCATAATTTTTTTTGTATTTAGTAGAGAAAGGGTTTCACCATGTTAGGCTGGTCTCAAACTCCTGACCTCACGTGATCCACCTGCCTCGGCCTCCCAAAGTGCTGGGGTTACAGGCATGAGCCACTGCTCTTGGCCTAATGTCTACTACTCTTAGCCCCATTCTGCAGAGCAGTATCCTGAGGCCTCAAAGAAGGCAAGCCATGCCTGAGGTCACAGAGCCTACCATACCCTCTCACTCCTGCCCATATTTGTTTAAATGCTGGTGCTGGTTAGGCTGTGGTTTGTGTCTTGGGCATGGGTTTCATAAACACTCCACTGCTGTCACCCTGTCTCATTCCCTGAAGTTCTTTTAGGAGAGAGAAAAGGCTGGGCGTGGTAGCTCACGCTTGTAATCCCAGCACTTTGGGAGGCCAAGCCATGTGGATCATGAGGTCAAGAGATCAAGACCATACTGGCTAACATGGTGAAACCCCGTCTTTACTAAAAATACAAAAATTAGCTGGGCATGGTGGTGTGTGCCTGTAGTCCCAGCTACTCAGGAGGCTGAGGCAGGAGAATGGCTTGAACCTGGGAGGCAGAGGTTGCAGTGAGCCGAGATCGTGCCACTGCAGTCCAGCCTGGTAACAGAATGAGACTCCGTCTCAAAAAAAAAAAAAAAAAAAAGGATTAGGGGGAAACGTGAAAACCACCTAACCATCCCATCCATTTTTTTCCCCTCTAATCTGAAGAACCACAGTCAGAGAGGTGCACGGGTCCGATGTGTGTTTGGGGAAGGGGTGGGGAGAGGAGAGCGTCCCTTTCACTGCCCAAGCCTGTGTGTGCAACTTCCTGCCAGTGAGGAAACTCAGCTCGAGAATCAGCCTGGTTCTCCTTTCCCCGATCTGGCCTCACAGAAGGAGTTGGCAGGGAGCCTTGGGCCCCTCTGGCCTCAGCCGGATTTCCCAGCCAAACGTCGGGGAGAGATGCCCTGGACCATCTTGCTGTTTGCAGCTGGTGAGTCTGAAGCCCCCCTTTCAATTCCCCCATGCCTCTTCCCGAATCCCCTGTCCACCTTGCCACTCTGGGGGCAGAAACCAGCGCAGGGGTTGTCATTCCCAGGGCATCGAGGAGGCTGAGTCCTGGGCAGATGGGTTTGCCTATGAGCCTCAGAAACTCTCCGGCAGTGTTGCTTTTTTCTTGTTAGGCTCCTCATTACCCCCAAGTTCAGGAATATCAGAAATTCTACCCCTCTGGAGTCAGCTGTGCCCATACCCCATGACTTAGCCTGGCTTGGTCTCTGAAGGCTCTTTGAGGGCTGGGGCAGCAGGAAGGTCTACCTAGGGGATATCAGTGTGGCAGGGGTGGGTAAGGGTTGGAGGCTGGACAAGGGAAGGCTTGTGTAGACCTCACCTGGCCAGACACTCCGCTCAGAAGCCTGTGGGCAGTCGGGCGAGAGGCGGGTCCCCAGGAGACTTCATCCTGCAGGAAGCCATGCTCCAGCATCCATATTCCTCACCCCAGCCTGGGAAAGGAGATAAAAGCCCTTTGCCCTTCCTTCTCCTGCCCTCCTGCTCCCTCACCCCCTCCCTCCTGCCATGATGGCCTCCTCGCTGCTCCATTTTTTATATTTATTTTTATTTTTTAATAGAGATGGGGGTCTCACTCTGTTGCCCAGGCTAGTCTCAAACTCCTGGGCTCAGGCACTCCTCCCGTCTTAGCCTCTGAGTGTGCTGGGATTACAGGTGTGAGCCATCACATCGGCCTCGGCTGCTCCTTAAACACCCACCTCGGGCCGGGCACGGTGCCTCATGCTTGTAATCCCAGCACTTTGGGAGGCCACGGTGGGTGGATCATGAGGTCAAGAGATCAGGACCATCTAGGCCAACATGGTGAAACCCCATGTCTACGAAAAAATACAAAACTTAGCTAAATGTGGTGGCACACACCTATAGTCCCAGCTACTCGGGAGGCTGAGGCAGGAGAATCGCTTGAACCCAGGAGGCGGAGGTTTCCATGAGCCAAGATTGTGTCATTGCACTCCAGCCTCGCAAGAGAGTGAGACTCCGTCTGAAAAATACCCCCATGCCCCTTCTATCCCCTGGACCTTTCCCTATGCTGTCCTCTCTACTGGAATGCCCTTCCCCAGCTCTCCAAATGGGTCCTTCCTTACCACTCAGGACTCAGGAGGCCAAGGTAGGAGGATCGCTTGAGGTGAAGAGTCTGGGCAACATGGCGATATCTCATCTCTACAGAAAATAAGCAAAATTAGCTAGCCAGGTTCACCAACCTGACCGACACGGTGAAACCCTGTCTCTACTAAAAATACAAAAAGTAGCCAGGCATGGTGGCGCATAGTCCCAGGTACTCGGGAGGCTAAGGACACTGTACTCCAGCCTGGGTGACAAAACGAGAATCCATCTCTAAATAGTAAATAAGAGTGTAGTTGTATTGCTGTGTAATAACTATTGCTATTATTGAAAATGTATGGCCAGGCATAGTAGCTAACCCTGTAATCCCAGCAATTTGGGATCACCTGAGGTCAGGAGTTTGAGACCAGCTTGGCCAATATGATGAAACACCATCTCTACTAAAAATATAAAAATTGGGGTCAGGCGTGGTAGCTCACATCTGTAATCCCAGCACTTTGGGAGGTCGAGGCAGGGGGATTGTTTGAGGTTAGGAGTTCAAGACCAGCCTGACCAACATGGTGAAACCCTGTCTCTACTAAAAATACAAAAATTAGCCAGGCATGGTGGCTAGTGCCTGTAATCCCAGCTACTCAGGAAACTGAGGCAGGAGAATCACTTGAACCTGGGAGATGGAGGTTGCAGTGAACCAAGATTGCACCTCTGCACTCCAGCCTAGGTGACAGAGACTTCGTCTCAATAAAAATTACATATATAAGCTGGGCACGGTGGCTCAAGCCTGTAATCCCAGCACTTTGGGAGGCCCAGACGGGTGGATCACGAGGTCAAGAGATCGAGACCATCCTGGTCAACATGATGAAACCCCGTCTCTCCTAAAAATACAAAAATTGGCTGGGCATGGTGGTGCGTGCCTGTAAGCCCAGCTAGTCAGGAGGCTGAGGCAGGAGAATTGCCTGAACCCAGGGGCGGAGGTTGCAGTGAGCAGAGATCGTGCCATTGCACTCCAGCCTGGGTAACAAGAGCGAAACTCCGTCTCAAAAAAAAAGAAAATTGATTCGACTGCAGGGAGCCCTCACCATGTTCCAGGCAGTGTCGGGTAGGGTCACTAGCCTCCCAGCATACAGAAGACACAGGCCTAGAGACGGTGATCTGCTTGCCCAAGGCCACACAGCCAGGTCAGCCTCCACTCTCATCACACACCCACCCACCTCCTTACCGTCTGCACCGCAGGCTCCTTGGCGATCCCACCACCATCCATCCAGCTGGTGCCCCCGCACCCAAGCAGCCAAGAGGATCCCATCCACATCTCATGCGTGGCCCCCGGGGACTTCCCGGGAGCTAACTTCACACTGTATCGAGGGGGGCAGGTGGTCCAGCTCCTGCAGGCCCCCATGAACCAGCGCGGAGTGACGTTCAACCTGAGTGGCGGCAGCAGTGAGGCTCCAGGGGGACCCTTCCACTGCCAGTATGGAGTGATAGGCGAGCACAACCAGCCCCAGCTGTCAGACCTCAGCGAGCCTGTGAACATCTCCTACCCAGGTAAGGTCCTCCTGTGGGATCTCACTGCCAGGAGCTTCATTTCCTCACATGGACCTCTTGTATGTACTGTTGGCTTGGAGGCCTTCCCAAAAAGAGCCAGGCTTATACCCTGCCAGGACTTACTCGTCTTTCCTTTTCCATATTCTCAGCCAGCCCAGAAGTGGATTTGTTGTTTTACTGAGCTGAAATCAGTTCACTAGGCTGACTTCAGGTATGGATAGATCCAGGTAGATCCAGGTGCTGAAAGCTGTCAAGAACCATTTGCCCCATCTCCACTCCACATTCTTCGCTCTTTTTTTTTGAGACGGAGTTTCGCTGTTGTTACCCGGACTGGAGTGCAATGGCACGATCTCGGCTCACCACAACCTCCGCCTCCTGGGTTCAAGCAATTCTCCTGCCTCAGCCTCCTGAGTAGCTGGGACTACAGGCGCGCACCACCATGCCCAGCTAATTTTTTGTATTTTTAGTAGAGACGGGGTTTCACCATGTTGACCAGGTTGGTCTCAATCTCTCGACCTTGTGATCCACCCGCCTCGGCCTCCCAAAGTGCTGGGATTACAGGCTTGAGCCACCGCGCCCGGCCGTTGGGGATGGGGTTTCACCTTGTTGACCAAGATGGTCTCTATCTCTTGACATCGTGATCCACCCGCCTCGGCCTCCCGAAGTGCTGGGATTATAGGCGTCAGCCACTGCGCCCGGCTGTTCTCTGTCTTATTGTCAGTCATTCCGTCTCCCTCCTAGTAGCAAAATTGGTGCTGCGATTCTTTCCATTTTGCAGATAAGGAAACTGAGGCACGGGAGCTACACCTTGTACACAGGTAAAAGGTAGCCAATCTGGAATGCCATTGTCTTCCAAAAACCACGAATTGTACCTCCGGGATACACTTACTTCCCCTCTTGGCCACATACTTTTTTGTTGTTTTTTTTTAATGAGACAAGGTTGTCCAGACTAGAGGGCAATGGCACAAACATAGCTCATTGCATCCTCAAATTCCTGGCCTCAATCGATCCTCCCACCTCAGCCTCCTGAGTAGCTGGGACTGTAAGTGTGCACCATCATGCCCAGGTGATTTTAAAAATTATTTTAGAGATGAGGATCTCAAGATGTTGACCAGGGCCAGACATAGTGGCTTATGACCCCAGCACTTTGGGAGGCCGAGGTAGGTGGATAACCTGAGGTCAGGAGTGTGAGACCAGCCTGGCCAACATGGTGAAACCCCGTCTCTACTAAAAATACGAAAATTAGTCAGGTGTGGTGGCATGCATGTATAATCCCAGCTACTGGGGAGGCTGAGGCAGGAGTATCGTTTCAAACCAAGAGGTGAAGGTTACAGTCAGCCAAGATGGTGCCTCTCCACTCCAGCCTGGGCAACACAGCAAGACTCCTATCTTAAAGAAAAAGGCTGAGGCCGGGTGCGGTGGCTCACGCCTGTAGTCCAAGCACTTTGGAGGCCAAGGCAGGCGGATCACCTGAGGCCAAGAGTTCAAGACCAGCCTGACCAACATGGTGAAACCCTGTCTTAAAAAAAAAGAAAAAGGCTAGGCACAGTGGCTCACGCCTGTAATCCCAGCACTTTGGGAGACCGAGGCGGGCAGATCATGAGGTCAAGAGATCAAGACCATCCTGGCCAACATGGTAAAACCCCGTCTCTACTAAAAAAATTTAAAAATTAGCTGGACGTGGTAGCATGCACCTGTAGTCCCAGCTACTTGGGAGGCTGAGGCAGGAGAATCGCTTTCACTGGGGAGGCGGAGGTTGCACTGAGCCGCAATCACACTACTGCACTCCAGCCTGGCACCTGGCGACAACACAAGACTCTGTCTCAAAAAAAAAAAAAAAAAAAGATGTTGCCCAGGCTAGTCTTAAACTCAGCCTCAAGTGATCCTCCCACCTTGGCCTCCAGAGTAGCTAGGATTACAGATTCGAGCTACCATGCCCAGCACCAGCCATATAACATATTTGAGCAATTACTATGCACCAGGCACTGTCCTTGGCCTGCCTTCCTGGAGCTGACATTCTAGGTGGGTGAGGACAGATGATAAACATGAAATCCAATATGTATTCAACCTGCCAGCAGGACACCAGATAAAACACCTGGGTGAGGATGTCATTTGAAGTAGAGTAGGGCAACTGGCCCCCTGTTGTAATGGTCAGCACTCTGGACTCTGAAGTAGAATAGAGCAATCAGGGAAGCCCTCTCTGAGGAGGTGGCATCTGAGCAAAGAACTGAATGATGAGTAGGAGCCAATCCCGTGGATATCCAGGGTGTGTGCTGCAGGCGGAGGATACAGGCTGTGCAAAGGTCCTGAGGATGGAGCTTCCCCGGTGTGTCTGAGAAGCCCAGTATGGCTGTAGGATGGTGAACAAGGGGGAAAATGGGGAGAGGCAGGCCAGGGAGGCCACTGGGAGGATCAAGGGGGGCCTTGTAGACCACAGCAAGGTTTAACTTTTCATCCGAGTGAGATGGGAGCCTTGGCAGGGTTGAAGTCCTCTTCTGGTCTTTAAGTGAGGAGTCTGGGCATGGGTTACGGGTCAAGAATTAGAAGGGAGGAGCCCTCGGTGGCCTTCTGTGTCACCATCAGTCACAGCTTTCCTGGCCAGGTGTACAGTGGCTCACGCCTGTAAGCCCAGGACTTTGGGAGGCTGAGGAGGGAGGATTGCTTGAGCCAAGGAGTTCAAGATTAGCCTAGGCAACATAGTGAGACCCTGTCTCCAAGGAAAAAAAAAGAATTACTTACTGTATTTTATTTATTTAGAGAGGGAGTCACACTCTGTTGTCTAGGCTGGAGTGCAATGGCATGATCTCAGCTCAAGTAACCTCTGCCCACTGGATTCAAGCAATTCTCCTGTCATCCTCCCACGTCACTGGGATCACAGGCCTACACTGCCATGCCTGGCTAATTTTGTATTTTTGGTACAGATGGGGTTTCAGCATGTTGGTCAGGCTGGTCTCAAACTCTTGACCTCAAGTGATCCACCTGCCTTAGCCTTCCAAAGTGCTGGAATTACAGGTGTGAGCCACAGCACCTGGTCCATTTTAAATTTTGGGGGATCTTGCTCTGTTGACCAGGCTAGAGTGCAGTGGTTCAATCACAACTCACTGCAGCCTCCACTTCCTGGGTTCCATCAGTCCTCCCCTCTCAGCCTCCCTAATAGCTGGGACTGCAGCCATGCACAACGATGCCTGGCCGATATTTCTGTTTTTTTGTTTTGTTTTGTTTTGTTTGTTTTTTTTGAGATGGAGTTTCGCTCTTGTTACCCAGGCTGGAGTGCAATGGCGCGATCCTCGCTCACCGCAACCTCCGCCTCCTGGGTTCAGGCAATTCTCCTGCCTCAGCCTCCTGAGTAGCTGGGATTACAGGCACGCACCACTGTGCCCAGCTAATTTTTTGTATTTTTAGTAGAGACGGGGTTTCACCATGTTGACCAGGATGGTCTCAATCTCTTGACCTCGTGATCCACCCACCTCGGCCTCCCAAAGTTCTGGATTACAGGCGTGAGCCACCGCGCCTGGCCTGATATTTCTATTTTTTATAAAGACAGAGTCTCACTACGTTGTCCAGATTGGTGTAGAACCCAGCTCAAGTGATCCTGCCACGCAGCTTCCCAGAGTACTGGAATTACAGGCATGAACCACCGCACCTGACTCTCCACCAACTTTTTTCTTTGAGACTGAATCTTGCTCTGTTGTTCAGGATGGAGTGCAGTGGTTCGATCTTGGCTCACTCCACCTCCAGGGTTCAAGTGATTCTCCTGCCTCGGCCTCCCGAGTAGCTGGGATTACAGGTGTGTGCCACCATGCCCAGCTAATTTTTGTATTTTAGTAGAGATGGGGTTTCACCATGTTGGCCAGGCTGGTCTGAAACTCCTGACCTCAGGTGATCTGCTCACCTCAGCCTCCCAAACTACTGGAATTACAGGCATGAGCCACTGTGCCTGGCTCCTCCACATTTTTTTTTAATTAGCGGGGTTTGTTGGCATGTGCCAGTAGGCTGATGCAGGAGGATCACTTAAGCCGGGGATGTAGAGGATATAGTGAGCCGTGATCGCACCACTGCACTCCAGCCTGGGTGACAGAGTGAGACCCTGTATGTAAAAAAAAAATTTTTTGGAGTGCAGTGGCATAATCTTGGCTCACTACAACCTCCACCTCTGAGGCTTAAAGGATTTTCCTGCCTCAGCTTCCTGATTAGCTGAGACTACAGGCCACCATGCTTGGCTAATTTTTTTTTTTTTTTTTGAGACGGAGTTTCGCTCTTGTTACCCAGGCTGGAGTGCAATGGCGCAATCTCAGCTCACCACAACCTCCGCCTCCTGGGTTCAGGCAATTCTCCCGCCTCAGCCTCCTGAGTAGCTGGGATTACAGGCACGCGCCACTATGCCCAGCTAATTTTTTGTATTTTTAGTAGAGACGGGGTTTCACCATGTTGACCAGGATGGTCTCGAACTCCTGACCTCGTGATCCACCCACCTCGGCCTCCCAAAGTGCTGGGATTACAGGCGTGAGCCACCGCGCCCGGCCGCTAATTTTTTTTTTTTTTATGGCTCTTTTCAGTTTATTGCGTGAAGGAGTTACACTAGTCCAAGTTAAAAGTGGACCCCAAATGGTTACATTATACAAGCTTGTATAATTGAGGTTTTTAAACTTGTGACAAGGGACAGACGGGAAATTCTCCTCATTGCAAGGAAATCCTCACTTGAGCTTCAGTGAGCCGAGCACTTAAAACCCATGAACCTTCAGCCGATTGTCCTTAGCCAGTCCAGTCTCTACGAGGAACTGGCGTATGTGACTGCGTGGTCACCCTGTAGCTGAATTCCTTCTCCACATTCTGGACGCTCAGTTACAATACCATTACAGGCAAACTTAAACGCCTTCACTGGTTTCTTTTTATCGTAATCATCAGCGATCACTTGGACGGTAGTAAGGGTCTTCCTGCCATTTCTCTGTTGACTTATTATGTGGATATAATCCTCAGTGCCAGCAGGAAGCAGGTCATCACCCTTACCTGCACCAGCAAAGAGGTTGAAAGAATGGAGGTTCTACATAGTGGACATACCATACTTCCTTCTCCTCGGTGGAAACGGACTGCGGAAGGCGGCGGCGGCGGGAGAAGAAGGGCAGGGGGTTGGAACGTCGGGAAGCGAGGGGGCTCGAGGGGGAGGCTGCTGAGTCCTCGGCAGCGGCTCAGTGACTGGGCTAATTCTGTTTGTTTGTTTTTGAGATGGAGTCTCGCTCTGTCACCAGGCTGGAGTGCAGTGGTGCAATCTTGGCTCACTGCAAACTTCGACTCCCTGATTCAAGTGGTTCTCCTGCCTCGGCATCTCATGGCTGGAATTATAGACACACGCCACCACACCCAGCTAAATTTTGTATTTTTAGTAGAGACGGGATTTTACCATGTTGGCCAGGACGGTCTCAAACTTCTGACCTTGTGATCCACCCGCTTTAGCCTCCCAAAGTGCTAGGATTACAGGCGTAAGTCACCATGCTCAGCCCCTAAATTTTGTATTTTTAGTAGAGATGGGGTTTCACCATGTTTGCCAGGCTGGTCTTGAACTCCTGACCTCAAGTGATCCATCCGCCCACCTTGGCTTCCCAAAGTGCTGGAATTACAGGCATGAGCTACCGTGCCTGGCCAAAAAAATTTTTAAAAGAACTTTCTCAGGCTGGGCCTAGTGGCTCATGCCTGTAATCCCAGCACTTTGGGAGGCCGAGGTGGGCAGATCACAAGGTCAGGAGATCAAGACCATCCTGGCTAATACAGTGAAGTGAAACCCTGTCTAAAAAAATCAAAAATAAAATAAAAAGAACTTTCTCACTGCAATAAAGAATCTTGGGCCAGGCACAGTGGCTCATGTCTGTAATCCCAACACTTTGGGAGGCTAAGGCAGGTTGATCATGAGGTCAAGAGATCAAGACCATCCTCACCAACATGGTGAAACCCCATCTCTACTAAAAACACAAAAGTCAGCTGGGTGCATGGCTCACACCTGTAGTCCCAGCTACTCAGGAAGCTGAGGCAGGAGAATTGCTTCCACCCAGGAAGTGGAGGTTGCAGTGAGCCAAGATCGCACCACTGCACTCCGGCATGGAGACAGAGTGAGACTCCATCTCAAAAAAAAAAAAGTATCTTGTTGCCAGTCAGGGCCTCCGTGCGGTGATGACAGAGCAGTTCTCTGTCCTTCCATGCTGCTGGCTCCATCAACGGCCCCTTCTCTCACCTTGGCCTTGTGGTCTTGGAGTGGGAGCTGACAACACCCCTTCTGCCCCAGACGAATCAGTGAACAAGGCCTGACATTGTGAGAATACCAAGCGCCTGTCTTCTTCCCGCTCCTGGCTTAGCTCCTGGCCTCCCCTGGGGAGTCGGGGTATCTCCTCTTTCTCCAGGAAGGGGAAGCCGAGGCCTTTGCTGAGAAGGTGACTCTGGAACTGCCACTCCCATGCCTGTGTGGCTGGCTTCTGGGTGGATCTCAGGGTCTACCGTTGGGCTAGGGGTGGATGTCATCTGACCACTGGCACCCAGACTGCAAGTAATGAAAAACCTGACTCAAACTGGCTCTACTAACAAGAGGGGATTTGTTAGTTCACTGAGCTGAAGTCAGTTTACATGGCTGACTTCAGATATGGCTGGATGTAGGTGACGAAAAATGACAGCATTTGTCCTCTCAGCTCCTCTTTTTTCTGTCTTATTCTCATGTAGTTTCTCCCCTACATGGTGGGAAGATTGTGCCCTGCAGCTTCAGATAGATATTCTTTTTTTTTTTGAAACATAGTTTGGCTCTGTCACCTAGACTGCAGTGCAGTGGAGCAATCTCGGCTCACCGCAACCTCCGCCTCTCAGGTTCAAGCAATTCTCCTGCCTCAGCCTCCTGGGCAGCTGGGACTACAGGCACATGCCACCACACCCGGCTAATTTTTTGTATTTTTAGTAGAGACGGGGTTTCACCATGTTAGCCAGGATGGTCTCTATCTCCTGACCTTGTGATCTGCCTGCCTCGGCCTCCCAAAGTGCTGGGATTACGGGCGTGACTCACTGAGTCCCACCAATTATTTATATTTATATTTTTAATAGAGATGGAATTTCCGTGTACTGGCTAGGCTGGTCTTGAGCTCCTGCTCTCAAGTGATACCCCCCACCCCCACCCAGCCTCCCAAAGTGTTGGGATAACAGGCATGAATCACCACACCTGGCCTAAGGTATCTATCCTAGGAATGCAATGCTAGCCTGACAAGTAAACTTTCCCAGTGGTCCTGCCAAAGTCCCAGAGTTAGCTCTACTGGGGTTACACGCTCATCCTGACCCAATCACAATAGCCAGGAGGAGGGGATATACTAATTGGCCAGACACAAAGTTTGCTAAATCTCCTGGGTCCAAACTGCATTTATGTTCCTTGTTGGCGGTTATGGGGTAAGGGCTAGCTACGCAAAGGTAACCTGGAGAGATGACACTGACCTCCGTACTCTCCTTTCTGATTTTTCTCCAGTGCCCACATGGATCTTGGCGCTCTCCCTGAGCCTGGCTGGTGCCCTCCTCCTCCTCACTGGGCTGGTGGCTGTTGCCCTCTTGGTCAGAAAAGGTAACAGCATGCAAAGAAAGCGTGGCATGGCCTAGGCCAGGTGGGGTGGTTCACACCTGTATTCCCAGTACTTTGGGAGGCTGAGGCAGTGGATCACCTGAGGTTGGGAGTTCGAGATCAGCCTGACAAACACGGAGAAACCCCGTCTCTACTAAAAATACAAAATTAGCTGGGCATGGTAGCATGTGCCTGTAATCCCAGCTACTCGGGAAGCTGAGGCAGGAGAATCACTTGAACCCAGGAGGTGGAGGTTGCAGTGAGCTGAGATCTCACCATTGCACTCTAGCCTGGGCAACAAGAGCAAAAATTTTGCCTAAAAACACACACACACACACACACACACACACACACACACACGGCATACCAGTTGCCAGGTTCAACTTCTGGAACGTGAAAATGTGCTTACATTCATACACTTACACCATTTTGTTTTCAGGTTCAGTAATTTGTCCATTACACCCATTTTTAAATTATTTATTCATTTATATTTTTTAGATGAAGTCTCGCTCTGTCACACAGGCTGGAGTGCAGTGGCGCGATCTCGGCTCACCGCAACCTCCACCTTCAAGGTTCAGGCAATTCTCCTGTCTCAGCCTCCCGAGTAGCTGGGACTACTGGCATGCACCACCACGCCCAGCTAATTTTTGTACTTTTAGTAGAGATGGGGTTTCACCATGCTGACCAGGCTAGTCTCGAACTCCTGACCTCAGGTGATTTGCCTGCCTCGGCTTCCCAAAGTGCTAGGAATACAGGCATGAGCCAGTGTCTGGCCTTAAAATTTTTTATGTGGAGACTCACTCTGTCACCCAAGCTAGAGTACAATGGTAGGATCATAGCTCACTACATCATTGACCTCCTGGGCTCAAGCAGTTCTCCTGCCTCAGCCTCCCAAGTAGCTGGGACCACAGGTACATGCCACCACACCCAGCTAATTATTTATTTATTTATTTTTAATTTTTTTACAGATAGGGTCTTGCTGTGTTACCCAGGCTGGGCAACTCCTGGGCTCAAGCAATCCTCCCACCTCAGCCTCCTGAAAGTGCTGGGACCACAGGCGTACACCACCACACCTAGCTAATTTTTATTTATTTATTTATTTTTCTTTTTTAAGATGGGGTTTCACCATGTTGGTCAGGCTGGTCTTGAACTCCCGACCTCAGGTGATCCACCCATCTTGGCCTCCAAAGTGCTTGGATTACAGGCGTAAGCCACCATGCCCGACCCTAGCTAATTTTTAAAAAATATTTTTTTATTGAAATAGGGTCTTGCTATGTTGCCCAGGCTGGTCTTGAACTCCTGGGCTCAAGTGATCCTTCTGCCTCAGCCTCCTAAAATGCTGGGTTTACAGGCATGTGCCACCATGCCCAGCCAAACTATATATATGTGTGTGTGTGTATATACACACATATGTAATATGAACATATATACATATATGTGTGTGTGTGTATAAGTATATATATATATTTGTTTGTTTTTTGGAGACAGTGTCTTGCTCTGTGTCACCCAGGCTGAAGTATAGTGGGGCAATCTTGCTCTGTGTCACCCAGGCTGAAGTATAGTGGGGCAGTCTTGGCTCACTGCAACCACAACCTCCACCTCCCAGGTTCAAGTGATTCCCCTTCCTCAGCTTCCTGAGTAGTTGGGACTACAGGAATGTGTCACCACACCTGGCTAATTTTTGTACTTTTAGTAGAGGTGGGGTTTCACTATGTTGGCCAGGCCGGTCTCGAACTCCTGACGTCATGATCTACCTGCCTCCACCTCCCAAAGTGCTGAGATTACAGGTGTGAGCCACTGCACCCGGCCTGAAATTAATATTTTTAAAGAAAACCAATTTTACACGCTTGCCCCTTGTTTGATGTTTTTACTGACACCTATTACTCTTGTAATTGAAAAGGAAATTTTTATTTTTATTTTTTTTCTTATATAACAAACTTGCACATGTAAAAAAAAAGAAATGTTTTAATTTGCAGTACCTTTGGGGAAAAAATTAAATGTTTGCAGCAGTTCTTGTGATGGGTGCAAATTTGCTTGAGGAGAGGCAAATTTGGGTTGCAAATGAACGGAGTGGGTTTATAAATCTGAGGCCTTGCCATGCACCTGGCTCACACCTGTAATCCAAGCACTTTGAGAGGACGAGGCAGGCAGATCATGAGGTCAGGAGTTCCAGACCAGCCTGGCGAAACCCCATCTCTACTAAAAATACAGAAATTAGCTGGGTGTTGTGGTGCACACCTATAGTCCCAGGTACTTGGGAGGGTGAGGCAGGAGAATCGAGTGAACCTGGGAGGTGGAGGTTGCAGTGACAGACCAAGACTCCATCTAAAAAAAGAGGAAAAAAGAAAGACATCTGAGGCCTTTCAGGCCAGGTGTGGTGGCTCACGCCTGTGATCCCAGCACTTTGGAAGGCTGAGGCGGGTGGGTCACTTGAGGTCAGGACTGCAAGACCAGTCTGGCCAACATGGCAAAACCCTGTCTCCAGTAAAAGTACAAAAATTTGCCAGGCGTGATGCTTTGTGTTTATAATCCCAGCTACTTGGGAGGCTGACTCAGGAGAATCGCTTAAATCCAGGGGGCAGAGGTTGCAGTGAGCCAAGATCTTGCCGCTGCGCTCCAGCCTGGGTGACAGAGTGAGACTGTCTCAAAAAACAAAAAACCCAGACATTGCCAGATGCAATTAGGACCAAAATCTAACACATGCGCTTTTCTTTTTTGTTCCAGTTAAACTCAAAAATTTACAGAAGAAAAGGTGAGACCATCCCTGGAGACCTTCTGAGTGTGGTTTGGGGACAGAAGGACACTTCCCTGGCAGAGCAGGCACTCCACGCCCCCCTTAAACAGCACCTCTTGGTGGCCATGCTGCATAATAGGAACAGGTGCCATGTATTCAGTGCTACTGTGTGCTGCAGGACTGTGCTAGGACTCTGAAGCTGGAGCTCCTTATCCTCATGGCAACCCTGGAAACAGGCACCGTGAATAGCCCCATTTTACAGATGAGAGGACTGAGGCTCAGTATTTGGTCACAGAGTGATCAGTTTGCCCAGGGAGAGGCCCTTCCCCACACCCCTTTACCTCCAGCTGCCAGAAAACGGTCATAGTCACTCTAGATACCCACAGTCAATTTCTGATGAATGTCCCTGGGGTTGTGTGGTGCCCAGTGACACTGTAGGCAGTGGCCCAGGTTCTTGGGTGCCAGGATGTCCTGACTGGTTCCGGCCTTAGTATCTCTCCTCTGAAAGTGCCTTCTCTCTTCTTCACCCTGCTGCCTGGTAGTGCAGATCTGCTCTGGGGATCGAATCCATCTTCACCTGGCTGTGGGCCACCTACCCAAGATAATTTTTATTATTGTTACTATTTTTAGACAGAGTCTTGGTCTGTCACACAGGCTAGAGTGCAGTGGTGCGATCTTGGCTCATGAAACCTCTGCCTCCCAAGTTCAAGCAATTCTTCAGCCTCAGCCTCCCGAGTAGCTGAGATTACAGGTGCCTGCCACTGTGCTCAGCTAATTTTTTTTTTTTTTTTTGAGACAGAGTCTTGCTCTGTCACCAGGCTGGAGTGTAATGGCACCATCTCAGCTCACTGCAACCTCTGCCTCCTGGGTTCAAGTGATTCTCCTGCCTCAGCCTCCTGAGTAGCTGGGACTGCAGGCACATGCCACCACACCCAGCTAATTTTTCTGTAGTTTTAGTAGGGGTTTCACCATGTTGGCCAGGATGGGCTCGATCTCTCGACCTCATGATCTGCCTGCCTCAGCCTCCCAAGGTGCTAGGATTATAGGCATGAGCCACCGTGCCTGGCTAAGTTTTCTATTTTTATTAAAGACAGGGTTTCACCATCTTGGCCAGGCTGGTCTTGAACTCCTGACCTTGTGATCCACCCGCCTTGGCCTCCCAAAGTGCTAGGATTACAGGCATGAGCCACCACACTCAGTGACAATTTTTTTTTTAGATGGACTCTCGCTCTGTTGCCCAGGCTGGAGTACAGTGGCACTATCTTGGCTTACTGCAACCTCTGCCTCCTGGGTTCAAGCAATTCTCCTGCCTCAGCCTCCTGAGTAGCTGGGACTACAGGCACATGACACCACACCTGAGTAATTTTTGTATTTTTAGTAGAGACAGGGTTTCACCATGTTGTCCAGGCTGGTCTCGAACTCCTAACCTCAAGTGACCCACCTGCCTTGGCCTCCCAAATTGCTGGGATTACAGGCGTGAGCCACTGCGCAGGACCCAAGAGAATTTTCTTGTTTTTTTCTTGCCCTGGCCAAGGGGTGGTCCCACAGTGTGGCAGCTCCAGATACCAGGATGTCACTGCTTTCCTTGAGGAAGACCAGTGGGTGGGGAGCAAAGGCGATGTTTTAGGTGTGGTCTGGGGCCAGGGATTTCCCAGTCAAGCCTCCTGACTCAAGGGGCAGCCCTGGCCTCTGTCACTTCCTCCTGAATTCCTTTGCAGAGATGGAGAATCCTGCTGGGCCCAGATTAACTTCGACACCACAGGTGTGTACCTCCACACTCTTGACCCTGGTGGGGACAGGATTATACCTCCAAATGCCATCAGGCCTCATCACATGCCAATCAAACTTCTTCTGTGACTGCTTATTCTCTTGAGGGTCAAAACACACCCTCGTCACCTCTTCTCCTGGGTTCTCACCTTCTCTCCTTTGACTTAACCTAAAGGTCACCTCCTCTGGGAAGCCTTCCCTGACCCCTAGACAGGGTCTGTGGCTGCACTTGCATGACCCTAGAACCCACCATTCTTCCTACCCTTTGGTAGAAATACAGTTAGGCTGACTTAGTGGCTCACCCTGTAATCCTAGTACTTTGGGAGGCCAAGGTGGGAGGATCGCTGGAGCCCAGGAGTTTGAGACAAGCTTGGGCAACATGGCATGATGGAAATCCTGTCTCTACAAAAACTTATTATTATGATTATTTTCTTAGTAGAGACGGGGTTTCACCATGTTGACCAGGATGGTCTCGCTCTCTTGACCTCGTGATCCACCCGCCTCGGCCTCCCAAAGTGCTGGGATTACAGGCTTGAGCCACCGTGCCCGGCCCAAAAAATTCTATAACATTAGCCAGGTGTCGTGGTGCAAGCTGTCACTGTAACACCAGCTACTCTGTGAGACCCTGTCTCAAAAAGGAAGAAAGAAACAAAGATCGAACAGAATTAAGTGATCATTGGGTGCTCATTTCCTCTGCTGGATGGATGGCCAGCTCCATGGGGAAAGGACCATGTTTATATCGGGGACTCCTGGGCCCCACTTGCCTTCCAGAACATGTCATTCTTCCAGCTTCCCCAAGGGGGAGAAAGGCAGCCAATCTGTCATGTAGGATGCTCTCTTGAAGGCACCCCAAGCAGAGAAATGTATTCTCTATTTTATTCCTGGTCCAACATACTGAGCACTTACTATGTGCTAAGATCTGGGAGGGTCCTGTCATAACTAAGACAGATGTGCACTCTGCCCACAAGCCCATTCTCCAATGGGAAACACCTCATAGTGACACCAGACTATCTGGTCCCCAGAGGAAGTGATGCTTTTTTTTTTTTTTTTTTTTTTTTTTTGAGATGGAGTCTTGTTCTGTCGCCCAGGCTGGAGTGCAATGGCGCGATTTCAGCTCACCGCAACCTTCCATTCCTGGGTTCAATCGATTCTCCTGCCGCAGCCTCCCAACTAGCTGGGATTACAGGCACACATCACCATGCCTGGCTAATTTTTGCATTTTTCGTAGAAGCGAGGTTTCACCATGTTGGCCAGGCTGGTCTCAATTTCCTGACTTCATGTGATCCACCCGTGCAGCCTCCCAAAGTTCTAGGATTACAGGCATGAGCCAACTCGCCTGGCCTTTTTTTTGAGACAGAGTCTTGCTCTGTCACCCAGAGAGGAGTGCAGTGGCACAATCATCGTTGACTGCAGCCTTGACCTCCTAGGACCAAGTGATCCTCCTCTCTCAGCCTCCTGAGTAGCTGGGACCACAGGCACACACCACCACACTCAGCTAATTTAAAAAAATTTTTTTAATTCCCTCCTTGGCCTTCCAAAGCATTGGGATTACAGGTGTGAGCCACCTCACCTGTCTAGAAGCGATGATTAGGCAGAGACCTACAAGAATGGGTGATGGAGTCCCGGCATGGTGGCTCACACCTGTAATCCCAACACTTTGGGAGGCTGAGGTAGGCAGATCTCTTGAGACCAGGAGTTTGAGACCAGCCTGGTCAACATGATGAAACCCCGTCTCTACTAAATGTACAAAAATTAGCTGGTCATGGTAGCTTATGCCTGTGATCTCAGCTATTGGGATGCCAAGGCAGGAGAATCGCTTGAACCCAGGAAACTGAGGTTGCAGTGAGCCGACCTTGCGCCCTTGCACTCCAGCCTGGGCGACAGTGGGAGACTCCTTCCCAAAAACAAGAAAAAAATGGGTGATGGAGCAATTGGAGGAGATCGGGGTGGGGAGGAGGTGGAGGAGCTGGCAGGTGCTCCTTCTGGAAGGCCTGAGTTGAGATAAGACACCCATTTTCCCAAGGCCATGAGAGATCCCCTTAGGAAGGCTTTGTGTAGAAGGACATGGTTCAGTTGGGTTTTTTGTTGTTGTTGTTGTTGTTGTTGTTTTTGAGGCATAGTTTCACTCTTGTTGCCCAGGCTGGAGTGCAAAGGTGCAATCTCAGCTCACCACAACCTCTGCCTCCTGGGTTCAAGTGATTCTTCTGCCTCAGCCTCCCTAGTAGCTGGGACTAAAGGCATGCGCCATCGTGCCTGGCTGATTTTGTATTTTTAGTGGAGATGGGGTTTTTCCATGTTGGTCAGGCTGGTCTCAAACTCCCAGCCTCAGGTGATCTACCCACCTTGGCCTCCCAAAGTGCTGGGATTACAGGCGTGAGTCACCACACCTGGCTGACGTGGTTTAGTTTGCAGCTGTGAACAGTTCACCATACAGAATGGGTTGGAAGGTTGCCAGAGAGGATGCCGGGAGATGTACCCCAGTTGCTTCCCTGTGGGCTGGGGGGAGGCATGGGGACAGCAGGGAGCAGGGAAGTTACAACTGGTCCCCAGTGCTGGGTTTTCTTTCTTTCTGTTTCAGACATGTCCTTCGATAACTCCCTGTTTACCATCTCCCCGGTGAGTGGTTTTTTGTCTTGGAAGCAGTTTTCTGCTGACCGTCCTACCTGGATGGGTGGGACGGGCTCAGGGGGCACCGGGAGGCTAAGTTGACCTGCCATCTCTGAGCTGTGGGGAGCTGGGAAAAGCCCAGAATCACTGAACAGGAACTCATTAGTGAACCAAGAGTTGGCTCTGAAAAATCCCCAGGGGAGTGGGCATTGAAGGTGGCAACCTTGTTGGGCTGTCATGTGGCCGCAGGCAGGCCCCTCGGGTTATGTCCTGGCCTGGCCCATGCTGCTTTTGGTCTCAGTTGTGACAGCCCCTCAGAATGGTGACAGAGGATTCAGGGTGACCTGGTGGCCTCTCTGAGGTTCTTCATGGAGCCTCGTGGCAATCCAATGCATGGTATGGTCAGTCCCCTCTAGGTATAAAGAAAAGCCTGAAGTTGTGGGGCACACTGGCTCATGCCTGCAGCCCCAATACTTTGGGAGGCCAAGGTGGGTAGATCACGAGTAGATTCAAGACTAGCCCGGCCAACATGGTGAAACCCCGTCTCTACTGAAAATACAAAGCTTAGCCAGTCTTGGTGTGCACATCTGTAATCCTAGCTGCTTAGGAAGCTGAGGCAGGAGAATTGCTTGAACCTCCAGGAGGCGGAGGTTGCAGTGAGTGAGCAGAGATCACACTGCTACACTCCAGCATGGGCGACAGAGTGAGACTCTGTCTCAGAAAAATAAATAAATACAAATTTAAAACTACAAATGCCTAGGCTACCCCATAATGCAGCTGTGCAGAGTCCCATGGACCTAGGTTTAAATGCAGCCCTGACACTGTATGACATTGGGAAACAATACCCATCAAAAGCAGAGAGGGGGATTTTTTTTTCTTTTTTTTTAAAGATGAGGTTTCACCATGATGGCCAGGCTGGTCTTGAACTCCTGACCTCAGGTGATCCACCCACCTTGGCCTCCCAAAGTGCTAGAATTACAGGCATGAGCCACCGCGCCCGGCTTTTTTTTTTTTTTTTTTTTTTTTTTTTTGAGACAGAGTCTCGCTCTGTCACCTGGGCTGGAATGCAGTGGAGTGATCTTGGCTCACACAACCTCCGCCTCACAGTTTCAAGCAATTCTCCTGCCTCAGCCTCCTTGGTAGCCGGGATTACAGGCACATGCCACCACACCCAATTGATTTTTTTATTTTTAGTAGAGACGGGTTTCACCATGTTGGTCAAACTGGTCTCGAACTTTTGACTTCAGATGATCCACCCACTTTAGCCTCCCAAAGTGCTGGGATTACAGGCGTGAGCCACCATGCTGGCTGCCTGCAGAAGCTGGTTTATACAGGAGATCAGGAAAATCTGAGATGGGTGACAAGCAGGAAGTGGGGAAGATTTGGGATGTTTGATCCAGGCTGAGGACACATTTTTGGCACAGCCTAGTAGACTGGGGTGGAGTGAGGAGTCCAAGGGGGCACGTGGAGAACTTTGACTTTTCCCCTTTTGAGCTGGGAGCCAAGCAGCGTTCCCAGTATAGGAGGGAGGGGACCGGATTCAGGTGCACACAGGCGCCCTCTGGTGGCTTCTACAGGAAGGACAGATTTGGGGAAAAGGGATTGGGGAAGGCAGGAGCCTGGAGACTGAAGAGCAGGTTTCTGTGCGGGACCAAGCATGCATCGAGGGGTTGGTGGTTTAGTCCATGGAGTTCGAAGAAGCGATTAGATGCGGCTTAGGGTAGATACAGGGGATAGAAAACGCAGGGCTGGTTTTTGATTGATGAGTGGGCCAAGGGAGCAGAGGGAGGCCAAGGTGGGCAAGGCTTGGAGGGTCAGGAGGGCGGAGTCGGCCGCTGCAGCCTGTGGTGCCTGGGAGCAGATGGAGAGGGGAGACTGCAGTTCCAGAGAGAGGTCAGTTCTAGAGATAGACTAGGAGTGCCTGGGATACAGATGGTGGGAAGGAAAGGGGCTTGGCACGGGCCTGTGCAGCCCTCTGAGGTCTCCTCCGCTTCCAGAATAAATCCTGAGGCCATAAAAACCCGGCAAGCAGGGCACGATCTAAACCTTTCCATGAGATCTACACCGCTCAGAACACCAGCCTGGTGATGCCCCCTTTGCACTTTTTGAGGTAGTTTGTTTTTATTGTTTGTTTGAGATGGAGTATTTCTCTGTCACCCGGGCTTGAGTGCAGTGGCATGATCTTGTCTGAATGCAACCTCTCCCTCCTGGGTTCAAGCGATTCTTCTGCCTCAGCTTCCCGAGTAGCTGGGATTACAGGCGCCTGACACCACGCCCGGCTAATTTATGTATTTTTAGTAGAGATGGGGTTTCACCATGCTGGCCAGACTGGTCTCAAACTCCCGACCTGAGGTGATCCGTCCACCTCAGCCTCCCAAAGTGCTGGGATTTCAGGAGTGAGGCACTGTGCCAGGCCTTTTCTTTCTTTCCTTTCTTTCTTTCTTTCTTTCTTTCTTTCTTTCTTTCTTTCTTTCTTTCTTTCTTTCTTTCTTTCTTTCTTCTCTCTCTCTCTCTCTCTCTCTCTCTCTCTCTCTCTCTCTCTCTCTCTCTTTTCTTTCCTTTCTTTCTTTTTTTTTTCTTAAATTAAGGGCCGGGTGTGGTGGCCCTTGCCTGTAATCCCAGCACTTTAAGAGGCCAAGGTGGGAGGTAGAGTCTGCAGTGAGCTACAATTGCATCACTGCACTCCAGCCTGGGCGACAGAGAAAGACTGTCTCAAACAAGCAAAAAATTTCAATATGGAAAACATTCCTGTGTCAAAATATACACTAAAATTTTCTTACTGAGCCACACTTCATCCATTGGAATTTCTTTCTACAGACATACAGGCAACCGCTGTTTGCAGCTACACGTGGCAAATACACACAGAGGTGGATCTATACCTTCACCCACCACATCCATCAGTTTTTTTTGTTTTTGAGACATGGTCTTGCTCTGTCTCCCAGGCTGGAGGGCAGTGGCACCATCATACCTTGCTGTAGCCTTGATCACCTGGGCTCAAGAGATCCTCCAGTCTCAGCCTCCCGAGTAGCCGGGACCACAGGCATGCACCACCACCACCATGCCCGGCTAATTTTTTTTTGTTTTTAAATTTAATTTTATTAATTATTATTTTTTTTAGATGGGGTTTCACCATGTTGGTCAGGCTCATCTTGAACTCCCGACCTCAGGTGGTCCGCCCACCTTGGCCTCCAAAGTGCTTGGATTACAGGCGTGAGCCACCACGCCCGGCCATTTTTTTTTTGAGACAGAGTCTTGCTCTGTCACTCAGGCTGAAGTACAAATGGCATGTTCTCAGTTCACTGCGACCTCTGCCTCTCAGGTTCAAACCATTCACCGGCTAATCTCAAACTCCTGACCTCAGGTAATCCGCCCGACTCAGCCTCCCAAAGTGTCGGGATTACAGCATGAGCCACCTCGCCCAGCCAATTTTTTTATTTTTTGAGACATAGTTTTGCTCTTTTGACCAGGCTGGAATGCAGTGGCACGATCTCGGCTCACTGCAACCTCCACCTCCTGGGTTCAAGTGATTCTCGTGCCTCAGCTTCCCAAGTAGCTGGGATTACAGGTGTCTGCCACACTGCCCTGCTAATTTTTTGTTTAGTAGAGATGGGGTTTCACTAGTTTACAACACCAGGCTGGTCTCGAACTCCTGACCTCAGGTGATCCACCTGCCTTGGCCTCCCAAAGTGCTGGGATTACAGGCGTGAGCCACCACACCCAGCTCTATTTAATTTTTTGAGACAGAATTTCGTCCTTTTACCCAGGCTGGAGTAAAGGGTGGCATGATCTCGGCTCACTGCAACCTTCGCCCCCAGGGTTCAAGCGATTCTTCTGCCTCAGCCTCCCAGGTAGCTGGGATAATAGGTGCCTGCCAACATGCCTGGTTATTTTTTATTATTATTATTTTTAGTATAGACGGGGTTCACTATGTTGGTCAGCCTGGTCTCAAACTCCCTATCTGAGTCCACCCACCTTGGTTTCCCAAAGTGCTGTTATTACAGGTATAAACTACCACGCTGGGCCTCTCTTTTTTCCTTTTTTTCTTTTTAGTTTTTCTTCGTTTGCATGTCACATGACATCTCTTTTTTCAAAGACAAATTTTACTGTGTTGCCCAGACTGGGGCGCAGTGGTGCGATCTTGGCTTGGTGCAACCTCTGCCTCCTGGGTTCAAGCATTTCTCATGCTTCAGGCTCCTGAGTAGCTGGGATTACAGGCAAATGCCACTGTGATGCCCAATGCCCGGCTAATTTTCTTTTATTATTTTTTTGGAGACGGAGTATCACAGTTGTCACTCAGGCTGGAGTACAGTGGCACAATCTTGACTCACTGTAGTCTCCACCTTCCAGTTGAAGCAATTCTCTCCTCTGAGCCTTCCAAGTAGCTGGGATTATAGGCATCTGACACACCTGGCTAAGTTTTGTATTTTTAGTAGATAACGGGGTTTCACCATTTTGACCTGGCTGGTTTTGAACTCCTGACCTTATGTGATCCACCTGCTTTGGCCTCCAAAAATACCGGGATTATAGGTGTGAGCCACTACACCTTGCCTAATTTTTGTATTTTTTAAAGTAGAGACGGGGTTTCACCAAGTTGGTCAGGCTGGTCTCAAACTCCTGACCTCAAGTGATCTGCCTGCCTCAGCCTCCCAGAGTGCTGGGGTTACAGGCGTGAATCACTGCACCCAGCCCAGGAATTTATCATCTTCCCAAACTTCTCCCCTTGAAATACCCATTCCCCATTCTCCCTCCCCCAGCCCCTGGCACCCACGATTCTCCTGTCTCTGTGGATTTGCCTATTCTGGACATCTCATAGAAATGAGATCATAGGCTAGGCACAGTGGCTCATGCCTGTAATCCCAGCACTTTGGGAGGCTGAGGTGGGTGGATCACTTGAAATCAGGAGTTGGAGACCAGCCTGGCTGACATGGTAAAACCCCGTCTCTGCTAAAAATACAAAAATTAGCTGGGCATGGTGGTGGGTGCCTGTAATCCCTGATATTCAGGAGGCTGAGGCACAAGAATTGCTTAAAGCCAGGAGCATGAAGGTTGCAGTGAGCCGAGATGGTGCCACTGCACTCCAGCCTGGGCAGGACGAAGCGGGCAGATCACCTCAGGTCAGGAGTTCAAGACCAGCCTGACCAACATGGAGAAACCCCATCTCTACTCAAAATACAAAATTAGCTGGGTGTGGTGGTGCATGCCTGTAATCCCAGCTACTCAGGAGGCTGAGGCATGAGAATTACTTGAACCCAGGAGGTGAAGGTTGCAGTGAGCTGAGATTGTGCCATTGCACTCCAGCCTGGGCAACAAGTGTGAAACTCTATCTCAAAAAACAAAACAGAAAGAGAGAGAGAGAGAAGACAGAGAGAGAGAGAGAAAGATTGAGAGAGAGAGAGAGAAAGATTACATGATATTTTTCCTTTTGTAACTGGCCTGTTTCACTGAGCTCGATGTCCTCAAGGCTCACCCATGGAATAGCCTGTGTCAGAATGTCCTTCCTTTTTAAGCCTGAATCATAGTCTATGGTGTGTTGATCCATTCATCTGTTGGTGGACACTTGGGTTGTCTCCACCTTTTGGCTGTTGTGCAGAACCCTGCCGCGACCATGGGTTTGCAGATTTCTTTTGGAGGCTCTGCTTTCACTTCTAGTTCCCTTTCCAAGCCTTACACAGCGTTGCCGTCGGCTGAAATGATAAGGCAGCAGCTGGCCTGTGTCTGGCTTTCCCTGTTACCTTGTGAGGGCCTGATAATGCAGTTTTATAACACCCTTTGAGGTGGGATCGACTATTTCCTTTTTATAAACAAGGACGCTGAGGCTGATAATGGGCCTAGAGTCACCCAGCTTGGGAGGGACAGGATTGTGAGTGGAACCCCCATCCTGCTGTCAGCTGACTGGCCCCAGTTCTAGCAAGTTCTAGACCCTGACTAGGATCAGGGTCAGGAGCCTCAAGGCAGAGGAGGAATTAGACCTTTGAGGCATGTTTTGCCCAGAATGGAAGGAGAGGAGGAGATAATAGTATTCATATATTCATCATTTATTTATTTATTGAGACAGAGTCCCACTCTGTTGCCCAGGCTGGACTGCAGTGGCAGGGTCTTGGCTCACTGCAACCTTCACCTCCCGGATTCAAGTGATTCTCCTACCTCAGCATCCTGAGTAGCTGGAATTATAGGCATGTACTACCACACCTGGCTAATTTTTGTATTTTTCTTTTCTTTTTGCTTTTGTTTGAGACAGAATCTTGCACTTATCACCCAGGCTGGAGTACACTGATGTGATCTTGGCTCACTGCAACCTCCGCCTCCTGGGTTCAAGCAATTTTCCTGCCTCAACCTCCCAAGTAGCTGGGATTGCAGGTGCCTATCACCACACCTGGCTAATTTTTGTATTTTATTTATTTATTTATTATTATTTTTTAAATAAGATGGGGTTTCACCCTGATAGCCAGGCTGGTCTTGAACTCCTGACCTCAGGTGATCCACCCACCTCGGCCTCCCAAAGTGCTAGGATTACAGGCGTGAGCCACTGTGCCTGGCCCCAATTTTTGTATTTTAATAGAGATGGGGTTTCGCCATGTTGGCCAGGCTGGTCTTGAACTCCTGACCTTGTGATCTGCCCACCTCAGCCTCTCAAAGTGCTGGGATTACAGGTGTGAGCCACTGCCCCTGGCCAATTTTTGTATTTTTCTTAGAGTTTGGCTTTCACTGTGTTGGTCAGGCTGGTCTCGAACTCCTCACCTCAGGTGACCCACCTGCCTTTTGCCTCCCAAAGTGCTGGGATTACAGGTGTGAGTCACCGAGCCCAACAGAGGAGATGATACTGATGGTTGTGTTCACTTAGCAAAGAAGCGCTTAACAACCTGCCATTCGGTTTATCAGTGTTCCTCCTCTAAGCCTCACAGCAGCCCCAGGAAGTGGCGAATTCTCCCCATTTTGCAGAAGGAGAAACTGAGGCCTAGAGGAGTTAAGCCACTCACGTGAGGTTATAGTGTTATGAAGTGATGGAACTGGGGTTTGAATCCAGGCTCTCTGGTCCCCAATTTAGCAGAGAGGAAGGCAGGAGATGGGAAGACAAGGACAGGTAGGTGTGGGTGGGGGCGGGATGAGATGAGACTTGCTGGCCTGGCAGTCTTGGCTCAGAACATAGAGAATCTCTAGATCCTGAAACCCCAAATCACCTGCTTCTCTGTGTCTTCTTCCATGGACAAAGAAAATGATGCCAGAAGACCCAGCCAACTTGGATGATCACGCAGGCACCAGCGCCACCCCTGGCAACTCCAGGACCCGGAAGAGGCCCACTTCCACATCCTCCTCACCTGAGCCCCCTGAGTTCAGCACTTTCCGGGCCTGCCAGTGAGGCTGAGGACTGGGGGTTCCCTCCGTCTCCAGGCATTCGGGGCCTGACGTCCCTCCAGCCACTTCTGGGGTGTGTGTGGGGGGCTCTGTTGGCTGCTTTCTCAGGGAATTAGACAGGAAATGAAGGGGAACCCTGGCCTTAGGATTTTCATCACAGAGGAGAGGGAGAGAGGGCACAGGCATGGGCCTGGCACTGGACAGGCAACAAGAAGTCCCCCCTCGACCTTCAGCTCCTCAGGACCACCAGAGAAGGAGACATCAGGACCCCTTCTGATCCCACCTGGGACATAAGGGGTCCCAGGTCTCTGCACACCCCTGGAGTTCCTCCCTTCCCCGCTGGGTTTTTGAGCATAGGGTGCCCTTGGGTGTGTTGAGTGTGTCTGCCTGCTGACTTGCCTAAGTTATAAATTATAACACGTGTCAAGGTGTTCCCAGGCCTCTATAGAGTGGAATCCTTCAAACTGGGGACCTCTGGATCCCATGGCTGGATGGCTGGGGGGGTGAGACGTACCTGAGTTCACTGCATTTGAAGCACCCCCCAAGGGCAGTCAGCGTGGTGTATGCGGAGGTTCCTGGTGGTGTGGGGAGTGCAGCGGTGCCAGGCCGGGGTCTTTGCAACGGTCCTTGAATTAGGGGGTTTAGCAGGTGGAATGATGGGCACGTAGGGGCAGAGGGGTATGAGGAATGAAGACCCCTCGAAGTGGCTCACAACTATAATCCCAGCACTTTGGGAGGCTGAGGCGGACAGACCACTTGAGGTCGGGCGTTTGAGACCATCCTGGCCAACATGCTGAAACCCCATCTCTACTACAATACAACAACAAAAGTTAGCTGGGCATGGTGGTGCTCGCCTGTAGCCCCAGCTATTCGGGAGGCTGAGGCAGGGGAATTGAACCGGGAGGCAGAGGTTGCAGTGAGCTGAGATCGCAGCACTGCACTACAGCCTGGCCGCAGGGCGAGGCTTTGTTTTTTTAAAAAAGGAAGGAGGCGTAAATGAGGTTTCGGGGAGAGTTAAAGCTGGGGTGCTGGGAGGTGGCCCAAAAGGGATGGGGCCACCGAAAGTGAGGGGGGATGCAGAGAGACACAGGGGTTTGTGTTGCGGGAGAGGGTGCCAGCGCCGGGCTGGGCTGGACTTAGCATCTTTGGAGGAACGGCTCAGAGAGGAGGGGGTCAAGGATATCTTGTGCGAAAGGAGTTAAACTTTAAGGATGGGCCGGGCATGGTGGGAATCACGCCTGTAATCCAACACTTTGGAGGCGAAGGCTGGCGGATCACCTGAGGTCGGGATTCAACACCAGCCTGACCAACATGGTGAAACCCCGTCTTTATTTAAAAAAAAAATTTTTTTTAATAAAAAAAATAAAAAAACTTTAAGGATGAAGAAGGGAGTGTGGGGGGCAGAGATGATAAGGAAGGAAGGAGGGGCGGTCGAAAGACGGGAAGAGGTCCTTTCAACCAGGCTTAGATTGCGCTAGGAGGCGGAGGCCCTTCGGAAACGGTCGATGTCGGGGAGACCAGGAGGCGGGGCCACAGAGTGGGGGCGTGCCCCGAGTGCTGACCACGCCTCCCCCCCAAGCCCGTTCCCAGAGCGGGGCGCCTCACAAAGCGAGTCCGGTCGGGAGGGCGCGGGCAGGTACGGGGCATCGTAGCGGCCGGGCCCCGCCTCCCTGCGGGCTGCCTCACAAAGCCGGGCGGGCCCGGGGGGCGGAGCCCGGTGTCAGGGGCGTGTCCAGGTTGGGGCCGGGAAGCCGCATCACAAAGGGCGGCCGTTCATGCGGGGCGGGGTCCAGGGCGGGGTTCAGGGCGTGTCCGTGCGACGGAGCAAAGCCTCTCCGTCTCCGCGTCTCCGCGCCCCCGCGCCGCCTTACCCAACGCGGCCGTTAAGGAGGCGCGGGCTTGGGGGCGGGGCCCGGGTCTCCGACGGGCGTGTCCGCCAGCCCGAGCACCGCCCCGACGCACACTCCTGCCCCTCTGTTCCGGGCGGCGGAGCCACCTCACAAAGCGGCGACCGTTCTCGCGGGGCGGGGCGGTCCCGCTCCCTGGCGCGCGCTCGCGCGCTCGCTCGCTCCCCGCGCCCAGGGTGGCCGGCAGGGGGCGCAGCACCACGCGGCCGGGCTGCGGCAGCGGTGGCGGCGGCGGCAGCGAGGCGGAGCGTGGCCGGCAGGCGGCGCTGCCCGGCTCGGCCTCGGCCTCGGCCTGCACGGCGGCGGCGGCGGCGGCGGCGGCGGCGACCTGGGCCCGGGCGCAGCGGCGACGGCGGGGCCTGGAGCCGGATCTAAGATGGCAGCGGCGGCGACGGCGGCGGTGGGGCCGGGCGCGGGCGGCGCGGGGGTGGCGGGTCCGGGCGGCGCGGGGCCCTGCGCGGCCGTGTCCGTGTTCCCCGGCGCCCGCCTCCTCACCATCGGCGACGCGAACGGCGAGATCCAGCGGCACGCGGAACAGCAGGCGCTGCGCCTCGAGGTGCGCGCCGGCCCGGACGCGGCGGGCATCGCCCTCTACAGCCGTGAGTGCGGGGCCCCGGGGCGGGTGCAGGGCCGGGGTGCGCACGAGGCCGGCTCGGGGCGGGGGCCGGCAGGGAGGGGCCCGGGGCCCTGGCGTGGGGTCCCAGGGGCCGAGCCCGTGGCCGGCAGGGAGGGCGCGTGGAGGGCGGGTGCCAGAGATCAGACAGAGAAAAGAGGGCGTGCGTGGTGGCCGGAGGGGCGAGGTACCCGGAGTGAGCAGGGAAGCGGGAAATGGGGAGTGAGGGGCCTGAGATTTGAGAGGGGAGGGTGGGCAGGAAGTGGGGGGCCCTGAGTGGAAGGGGAATTTGAAGGAAGCTGGGCATGGGGGGCTTAAGCGTGGGGTAGGGAGGCTTGGGGTGCAGGAGAGGTGGGCGTCTCGGGGGCGGGCGTGGCCGCCTCTGCAGGGAGCAGGGTGGGGCGTGGGCGGCCCGGAATTCTCTCTGGGGACCCCTGGACAGCTCAGGACGGTCGGAAAGTGTTTGCTTGCCCGGGAGGACCGAGTTCCACCCCTGTGAAAGGCATGGTGTTTAGGACCCCCGAGAGGGAAACTTCGGGACCTGGGGAGAGGACCCATGCGTGGACGGTGGGAGCCGCAGGATGAGCTCCTGGTGGAAACGTGAACTGGCGGGGCCCCTTCCTGATGCCGGGCTTGGAAGTAAGAGGTAACACAGCTCTCTCCCATCCCTTCACCAGGGATGTGAGACGCTGGTTACATTTTCCGAAGCTGCTTTCAAAACTGACATTTCACGGGATGGTGGGGCGGGAGAAAATCACAAATGTTTTTGCCGCCCCCACCGCCCCCGGTCTTTGTAGTTCATTCTTCTTGTTATTCTTCTTATCTCTTCTCTTTGATTCCTGGTTCACATTTTGCTATTCTGTGTCATTTGGCTTTGTCTCTCTGGGCTTCTGGCACTGATGCCCTGGTGAGCCCCTCAGGAGGCCTCTAGCTGGCTTGGGTCCCGTGTGAATTTTTTGCCACTTTGGGAATGGGCCGATTAACGGAAATCCCGAGGAGCAGTCGGTTCACACTGGGTTTTCCCTGAACCTCGACTTTGAGAACGTGGACTAAAGGAGCCGTGTCTGCTGCACAAGGGTGCCGTCTCTTTGCTGGGGCAGAGCCTGGGTCTTCTTGAACCAGATGAGGAGAGGGGAAGGAGGATATTTCAGGGGGGCTTTCAGAGTTCAAGGCAGACACTCAGCTCAGTAGAACCCCAGATCACAAACAAAACCTATTCATTGGTGAAGAATTGGTAGATAGTTCTGTCCTGAACAGAACAAAGTGGGGGAGCATTTCTAAAACTAGGGTCCCGGAGCTTATCCTCAAAGGAGTTCCAGGAGAGCTGGCTATCTTTTTTTTGTTTTGTTTTTTGAGAAAGATTCTCACTCTGTCTCCCAGGCTGGAGTGCAATGGTGCTATCTCGGCTCACTGCAACCTCCACCTCCTGGGTTCAAGCAATTCTACCTCAGCCTCCTGAGTAGCTGGGACTACAGGCCTTCGCCACCATGCCCAGCTAATTTTTTGTATTTTTTTTTTTTTTTTTTTTTTAGTAGAGATGGGGTTTCACTGTGCTGGCCAGGCTGGTCTTGAACTTCTGACCTCATGATCGGCCCGCCTCAGCCTCCTAAAGTGCTGGGATTACAGGTGTGAGCCACTGTGCCCGGCCCTGGCTATGATTTTTAAATAAACCTTTAAGTTTTTTTTTTGGACCAGGCACCGTGGGTCAACACTTTGGGAGGCCAAGGTGGAAGGATCACTTGATGTCAGGAGTTTGAGACCTGGCTGACTAACATGGTGAAACCCTGTTGTCTCTACTAAAAATACAAAAATTAGCTGGCCAGGGAGGCACGTTCCTGTAGTCCCAGCTACTAGGGAGGCAGAGGCAGGAGAATCACCTGAACCTGGGAGGCAGAGGTTGCAGTGAGCTGAGCCATTGCACTCTAGCCTGGGAGACAGAGCCAGCCTCCGTCTCAAAAAACAAAACAAAACACAACTTTTAGAACAGTTTTAGTTTTTTTTTTGTTTTTTGTTTTTTTGAGATGGAGTTTCGCTCTTGTTACCCAGGCTGCAGTGCAATGGCGCGATCTCGGCTCACCGCAGCCTCCACCTCCCGGGTTCAGGCAATTCTCCTGCCTCAGCCTCCCGAGTAGCTGGGATTACAGGCGCGCGCCACCATGCCCAGCTAATTTTTGTATTTTTAGTAGAGACGGGGTTTCACCATGTTGACCAGGATGGTCTCTATCCCTTGACCTTGTGATCCACCCGCCTCGGCCTCCGGAAGTGCTGGGATTACAGGCGTGAGTCACCCACCCCGCCCGGCCCCTTTGCCCCTTTCGTGTTTTCTTACTCCTGGAGTAACATTTTGTGTGTTTTTTGTTTTGTTGTTATTCTCGAATATTCCTTATTATTAAGACAGAACTTCTCTTTGAGAGGTAATTGCAACAGAAACACTTTTTATCATTAGAGACTAGGTTTCACTATGCTACTGTGTTGCCCAGGCTCCTCTCTAACTCCTGAGCTCCTCCCAGCATGCTGCGATTACAGGTGTGAGCCACCCCACTGACCTGAAACATTCATAAAAAGGTGAAAGTCCTTTTTCTCAGAGATTCCCAGTCCCAGATGATATATTCTCAGGGGTCTCAAAGAATTTTTTCCCGCTTTATCCTTTTTCTTTTTTTGAGACAAGGTCTCATTCTGTTGTTCAGTGCCGAGACTGGAATGCAGTGGTACAGTCTCAGCTCACTGCAACTTTGACCTCCAGGGCTCAAGTGATCCTCCTACCTCAGCCTCCCAAGTAGCTGGGACCACAGGCATGTGCCACACCCAGCTAATTTTTTGTATTTTTTTGTAGAGAAAGGGTTTTCACTGTGTTGGCCAGTCTCGTCTCAATCTCCTGGGCTCAAGTGATCCTTCCTCCTTGGATTCCCATGT